AAAAAAAATGATCACTCCCTAGATACTGAAAAAGAGTTTGGTAAAATTATTAACCTTCAATTTTGAGTAAAAAAATGAAAAACAATAAAATAAATAAAATAAAAATTATGACTGACTTAATAACTTCTTTAACACAATAGGAAACATGTCTTATTTATTCCTAATGTTGACTCAAAGCAATTCTCATTTAAATTTAAGAGTAACAGTGTCGCCATTATTAACATTGTTCCAGCAGTTCCAGCCAGTTCAATTAGGGGAAAAATATGCATAAAAACTGGAAAGAGGCCGGGCGCGGTGGCTCACGCCTGTAATCCTAGCACTCTGGGAGGCTGAGGCAAGTGGATCGCTCAAGGTCAGGAGTTCAAGACCAGCCTGAGCAAGAGTGAGACTCCATCTCTACTAAAAACAGAAAGAAATGATCTGGACAACTAAAAAAATACATATAGAAAAAATTAGCCAGGCATGGTGGTGCATGCCTATAGTCCCAGCTACTTGGGAGTCTGAGGCAGGAGGATCACTTGAGCCCAGGAGTTTGAGGTTGCTGTGAGCTAGGCTGCCACCACGGCACTCTAGCCAGGGCAACAGAGCCAGACTCTGTCTCAAAAAGAAACAAAACAAAACTGGGAAGAGCTGGGTGTGGTGGCTGGCACCTGTAGTCCCAGCCACTCGGGAGGCTGAGGCAGGATTGTTTGAGCCCAGGAGTTTGAGGTTACGGTTAGCTGTGATCACATTACTGCACTCTAGCCTGGGCAACAAGCAAGACTCTGTATCTTAAAGACAAAAACAAAAACTGGAAAGAAAGGGGAAATCATCAATATTGGCAGAGGATACGCTTGCATACCTAGAATATGGCAGGGTAAAAAATGAATGTTGCCCTTCATATCTATTCATCCCTGCCCACAGACTTCTATGATTTATAAGATATTCTCAGACATATAGATATGTAGGCTTCTTTTTTCTGTAAAGGCAATCAAACTGATTCTATAAATGACTTCTTTTACTTACATCCGTGGTATTTTTTTCTGAAGTTCATATAGATTTACTTGAGCTAATTTGTGAAAGATATACTCAGCCAGGTGGATGACTAGAGCAAAGAGAGTATAAAAATGAAAGATGGCATGGGTTTGCTTTGAAATATTTTCTATCCCAAATATTCAGACCTTTAGGACAGCTCAACTTCAATTTTTAGTCCAACTTTTCTGCATCCTTATCAGGTGAAAAGGGAAAGCTCTTGTTTTTTACATTCGTGTGTGATTAGATTTACTTAGTAATGAATGTGATTTTGATTCACTAAGCTAGTATTTCAGGTGTTTTGTTTTTCCTCCTACAGTAAGTGAAGTGTTTCTCAAGGAGAATACAAATTCTTTACCTTATCACTGATAGGTGGAATGTAGTAATATATTAAAAGAATTAATACTTATGAATAATAACTGCCATTTGTTCAATACTTACATGTACTAGGCATGACACTTAGTGTATTGCATGCTTTGTATCATTTGATCCTTAGAGCAAACTGATGATAATATAGCTGCTATTATTATCCCTGTTTTATAGATGAGATACCTGAAAGGTTAAATGATTTGTTCAGGGTAACACAGTAAGCAGCAGATTTTGGACTTGAACAACCATGTCTTCCAATACCTCAAGCGTTTATGTATTTTGTTATTCACTGGTGAGGAAAAGGGTATTTCTTGACTTTTTCAGTAGCCGGTATTCTAGACTGTTCCATCAGCCATCTGAATGACTGTGAGTGTGGGCTAGACTAGCTCACTAAGATCCTAACTTCACAAAATAGATTGTTTCTATCTGGTTTTATATAAATGCTCTGTTGGACCTTTTTTTTGTGTAGAGAGGTAGTGAGTAAGTGAGTATTGTATAATTTCTTCCTTCCATTTTTCTTTTTTTTCTTTCTTTTCTTTTCCTTTATTTTTATTTTGGAGACAGGGTCCTGCTTGGTTGCCCCGGCTGGAGTGCGGTGGCATGACCGTAGCTCACAGCAGCCTCAAACTCCTGGTCTCAAGCGATGCTCCCACCTTAGCCTCTCAAGTGGCTGGGACTACAGGCACACACCACCACACCCGGCTAATTTGTTTTTTTAGACAGGATCTTGTGTTGCTCAGGCTGGTCTGGAGCTCCTGGCTTCATGCAATCCACTGGCTTCAGCCTCTAGAGTAGCTGGGATTACAGGCCAGAGCCACCATGCCCCACTCTTCCTTCCGTCTTACTGCATCTCAAAAGACTCATAAGTCATAGTTGTTATCTTTGTTAGTGTGATTGGAAGCATGGTGTGGTGCACAGCACTGAACAGAATAATGTAAATGTGGTTGGGTGACTAGTCTTTGGGCCCAAGAAGTTTATAGAGTTTGGATGGGATAGGTATGGGGGAATTTTAGAGGGAAAATAACATTTCTTTTTAAAGCAGAAATTTGTTCTATTTTATATTCCATAAAAACAGTTGTTACAAATTGCCAAATATTTTGCCAGCATATCGAAAAAAGCAGAATTTCTGAGGGAAGTTTTAGATCTATAGTTTATTCTATTGACATTGTAAAGGGATTTGGGTTCTGAAAATACAAACAACAGTAATGAAAAAAAAACAAAAACAAAAAAAAAAGAGGCAGGAGGATCACTTGAGCCCAGGAGTTTGAGGTTGCTGTGAGCTAGGCTGCCACCACGGCACTCTAGCCAGGGCAACAGAGTGCCCTGTGACATTCATTTGGGTGGAAAAGCTCTGCTGCTTTGAGATATTTGTAAAACTTAACCAGAGTAAATGTTATTCAGTTTGGTGGGGTTGGGGCTAAGGTAACTTACTATTTTTTAATGCCTCTTAAATTCTTATTTGACCTTATTACTGGGATGTTGGACTATAATGAAGAATCTATCACATTAAGAAGGGTGATACTGTAGCATTTTACTTCCTGGGTGAGTTAGCTTTGCTTATTTCTGTTTGTTAACTAGGACTTTGATATTTTTGTAGACAATCTGCTTCATCTTGATTCTGCAGCATTCCAAACTGTGGTATCCTTGGGGTTCTCTTAACATTGCTATGGTGCAGAAGATTTAAAATCAGGTATGGCTGTGGGGCCAGAAGCCCCTCGGTGAAATTATCAACTTAACTCTGCCTTATACTCTCTGATTTATCATTTCGGTTTCTTTTTTTGTGGTGGCCTTTTAGCTGATGTTCACAAGGAATAGAGTCACGTGATGTATGAAGGGAAACATATACACTTCTCTGAGGTTGACAATAAGCCCTTGTGCTCATATAGCCCCAAACTGTGCAAGCAGCGACGACTCAACGGCTACGCTTTTTGTATCAGACACGTTCTGGAGGACAAGACTGCCCCCTTCAAGCAATGTGAATATGTGGCCAAGTATAACAGCCAACGCTGCACCAACCCCATCCCCAAATCAGAGGATCGCAGGTAAGAGCTGATCACGAGATTTAATTAGCAGGCTTAGGATTTTCCCTTTTCTTGTCTTGTCCTCTCTTCTCTCTCTCTTTCTTTTTCTTTTTTTCTTCCTTTCTTCCTTTTTTCCCTTCTCTTCCCTTATGTTCCCTCCCTCCTTCCCTTCTTTCCTTCTTTCCTATGTGATAAATTTAGATGTTGAGTTCTGGGGTTAATCTAAGTAAACTTTGCAATACTTCTAAAGATGAAAGATGGCAATTTTTTAAAAAATTCAGTAGTAAATTTAGGGAATTATTTGAAAGGCATGTTTGAGTGTTTTATTCTTTTTATTGATTTCATGGATTTCTGGAATTATTAAAAAAACATTTTTTTCCCCTGAGAATTGCTGCTCGAAGTCTTGGTACTGATTGGTTTGGTTTGTGGCCTTATAAAGTAATTCCTAACCTCTGTGCTTAGTTTTATCGTTTGCCTAAACAAGAGAAATGATAAGAACTAATTAGGTGTTGTAATAAATGATAATATGGGCATTTTTTAATCTATGTGTAGAAGGTAGTAAAGAATATATACTACTTGAAAAATAATTAAAAATATTACTTGAATTATTCAGATTTATTTCCTACCAGACTGCTAAGAGGTATTTGATGTTGTTTTATAATCTTGCCATTTTTGTTAAAAAGTTTTCCAAATTGAGTATGTTTACCATAATTTAGAAAACTATTTTCATGTAAAGGGTAGGTTTTTATCATGATGAATTTATGCCT